TATTTCCCTGAGTTGCACGAACTCTGAGCCTCAGTACCCAATGCCCCATAATAGACACCATGTATGTTCACTTAAATCAGGAGTTCTAGTTTGACCCACCTTAACCAGAAAAGAATGTTTTTCTCTTGGATTCAGGTACTTGAAACAACCAAGTCATATTAAGTCAGTGACACTATTATCTTATTCTTTTAATCAATGAGATACCTGGACTTGGACAAGTCACTTATTCCCTCTGAGCCTTAGTCTTCTTGAGTAGAGGTAGGTAATATCAGCCGTACTTACTTAGAAGGATTAAAAGGGATAATGTATATGAAAGCCATTTAATACACAGAAAAGCATTAGAGCATGTAAATAAGTAGGAAAAACAACCACATCACACCTTTCTTTACATTCCTGATTGGGGAAAAGGAGGCATAAAAGCTAAAATGTTTGGAAGGAGTGAAGAGATGAGTGGGTCCTGGAACAAAAAGTTGAGACTGGAAGGGCCACTCTAGGGCCACATTGGCTGGAGTAGGATTCATCCACCTGGTCAAAAGTGCTTACCTTGCTTTACCAATCCTCAGTATGACCACACTTAATCGTTCAGAGTGGACCCCGCCCTGTCCACCAAGCATTGGTGTTTGTTCCTCTGAAAATCTTAACAAGAGCTCTCCCTTCCCAGCTGGTGTTTTTCATTCCGATTATTAATGGTCAGGGAAATGTTGAAGAAAACTGGGGGTCCCTGATGGCTCTTCACTGAATGAATTATAAAAGAAAGAACGTCACTTTTTAGTTTTTTAGTTGATTTCCAACTCATCAAAATTAAATGGAGAAAAGTTCAGAAGCATAGACTCTTAAGACATGAAAGCGACCATAGAAGTCATCTCATTCAACAGATTATAAGGCCAAGATCCCATGGTTATACAGTTAATTTGTCGAGCAGATGAGACTAGAACCCAATCCTCAACTCCCAGTTCAGGTTCCTTCCACTAACCAAGTCCTGATACGAATACTACTAACATTGTACTAAGCACTAAGTACTTGCACTAAGACTACTAGCATAGTACTAGCATAGTACTGCATTAAGACTACTAGTACTAATACCAAAGTCTGTATAAACTAGTCAACCAGCAGAATCATGTGAGTCTAAAATCTAAAGAGTGAGGGGGATACTCAATCAATCCCCCTCTCCTAGTCCGAGAGAAGCATGCAGGCTGGTGAATGGTGGGGCGTGGGGAGAACTGTGACAAAATGTTGAAAGAGGATGCTCTGGGATGAATAAGGTCTCTTCCAGGGAGGAAAGCAGAACAGAGGAGGGAGAGAAGTTGAAAGGTACGCAGAACAGGAAAGATGATGATGGAAGTTGAGATGTCAGCAATCTCCAAAAGCAAGTCTTCCTTCATCAGGGCTAATAACACTTTAACTCTCCATACCCAAGCCTATCTTCACACAGTCAGCAGGCATCTACCTGAATGCAAACCAGACTAGGTAACACCCATTCCTGGATACCTCCCTTCCTGCTGCAGGCTGAGTTAGGAGTCGCTTTGAGGCACCTCACAACACTTAGTGCAGAGCTCCATTACTGCTTTTGCACAGGCTACTCTAACTGTGTGTTCACAGTTCCATCAGTCTCCGCCACCAGACTGTTAGCTCCTTGAAGGCAGGGGCTATGTCTTATTCATCCTATTAGCCCCAGCACAATGCCTGGACATGGCAGTAACTCAGCCACTGACCATGCATGAATAAATGTCTTCGCTCAGCCATTACCACTGCTGGGAGTTCATTTCAGAGCTGCTCCACCCCACTGCGGGCTGGGGTTGGGTATGCCTCCTCCATGCTCTCCCAGCACCCATGCGGCTCTCACGGCTCTCCTCACAGGACCTTTCACCTCCATATCAAAATTACCTAAAGACTCATTTGAGTCACTGACTAGACTGACAACTCTCTGAGGGCAAGGACTATGTCTTCTGTCTCTTTATTCTCAGCACCTATCATAATACTTAGAAACCACAGGAATTTAATACATACTTGTAGAATGGATGACTAAATGAACGAATAATACCAAAAGAGTGCCAAAAGAAATGCTAACAGAGCAAGCGATCCTCATCACAGAGAGACCCAAAAGAGTCTCCGGGAAAACACATCACCTGCTCCCAGAGTGTGTTCCCCAAGTGTCAACACAGCTCCAGCGTTTCCCACAGCCTCTGCTGCCAGGAAAGGATGAAACGCCATCCATATTCAGGAACAAAGGCAGAGTGAACCCTCCTTCAAGTCTTATTGCTAGATGGCACCTGTTGCTAAAATAGCAGCTGGTGAGCATTTTGTTTTGTTCACAACAACAACAAAAACAATCTATTACAGGAAGCAGCATCACAATGACAATAAGAAATCATGAGGCTAAATATATAGCAGAAAGAAATACAGAATTTTAGCCATGAAAGACAAAGAAGGAGCTGCTAGAGCCTGAGGAAAAAAGCGGAAGTGTTGATTAGACATTGCTCAGCTTGCATTAAAAGAGAGAAACGTGGGGAGGATGGATGGGAGGGGAGAAAGAGAAAAAGAGAGGGAGAGGAGAGAAAGGGAGGGAGGGGGAGAATGAATGTGTTTTTTCCTGGCTCTCTGACTCATTTTGAATCTGTCCTTTCCTTCCTCCCTCCCTTTCTGCCACCCCCTCAAGAGAGAGAATTCATTGATTGGGCTGGACTAAAATTTCTTACCTTTCCTCTCATGTTTCTCTGTGAACGATGAGTCTGACTCCATCTCATCCTTGACTGCTCCTCTCTCCTCCTGTCCCCTCCCCAGCCGCCATTGTTAGCTCCTCTACTTTGCTGAGGCTGAGAGGCAGCTTGTCCAGCGGCACAACTGCCAGCCTTGATGGGATGAGGGGGAAGCAGAAGCTGGGGTCAGGGGAGCCAATGGGTGATCACTGGGATCTCGAGCCAGCCTCACGTGCAGAGCACAGAAGCCCCAGCCCTCCGGCAGCTGAGATGTCCCTGATAACAGACCTGTTGCCTGCTCCCAGGCAGGGGCAGCCACTCCAGGTACAGATGGAAGAAGGCAGAGACAAAGCAGCACCTCCCCTCAAAACAAACACCCCTACAACAAAAAACCTAGAGGAGCAGCTTAGGAGAGTGCCAACAGGACTGGCCTGGGGTTTGGGAGAACTGGGTTCTAGTCCCTGCTCCATCACAGATTTGCTGTGTGCATATCGCCTCTCTGGGTCTCCATTTCTGCAAACTGAGAGGGCTGAATGAGATGACCTGTGGTCCCTTTCCAGTGATATGATTCCATTTCACATGGCTGTTAGCCATATCGAGCAAGGGCTATCTCTTCCCCTTCTGCTCCACTCCCTGCAAATCCCCAGAGTGCTTTTCTTGGACACAGACCAGGGTGCTGGAAGGGCACCTCTGACTCAGGGACCCCTGCCCAGACGCCTGGCTGACTTCAGGGAGGTGGTGATACAGGCTCAAGGCCTAAGCTCCCCTCGAATATGATAACTGAAAAGAAGAGGCAAATTAAGGACGTTCAGAATCAGTGAGGGTGGCAGTGGAAGGCACTGGGAGGCCAGGGAGTGGGGAGGCATGGATCAGCCAAACCCTGAAATTAGATGATTCATATTTGAATAATGTGGGAGGGATGAACTCAGAGCAGCCAAGAGAAGTGGCCAGCTCTGGTGAGGGTGGCCCCCCAAACCTAAACCAGCAGAAGGCAAGAGCCAGTGTTAGGGGCCCTGCATTTGGAAGAGGAAAAAAACTGAGACAATCAATAATCTTATTCTGAAGCTAAGGGAAATAGGGTTTTTGCCCTTCTTCTTAAATGTATTTTACTCTCTTTCAATGACTTGCCTTAGATATTTTAAACTTGCTCCTCTTTTTCTACTGATTTGATTTTTCCAAATCTTCTGGTTGGTCCCCACAGGGGACAAAACTTCATTTTTTGGTGCTATTTTCTGTTTTCTCTCCTGCGCTTCACTGCCCGCATCCTGCCCTCACAACCTTTCAGATCCCTTGTTCCTTTCTTCCATCACTCTGTCTCCACCTGACTCCACCTTGCTTAGAATCATTGCCTCAGACACAGTCCCAGCTACCCAAACCTTCCTAACCGACACCCCCCACCCCCAAGCATGGCTACTTTGTGAACCTCTCAGGGCTGGCCACCCTGCCTGGCCGTCTGTCCCTCAACCATGCAGTAGCATCTTGTGGGACAATGTGTTAGGAACCAGAGCCTTTCCAGACCCCAGGAGAGTAGGGAGAAAGTTCACAAAAAGAGAGGGGAAATACGGAGGACCCAGCTAGAGGAGGTGACTCTAATGCTGGGGAGAAGCCCTACCTTCTTAATATCTCTGCAAATTCTCTTTATTGGAGGGAGGGAAACCTGATTATTAGGGGGAGGCAGGCTTTTCTTTTCTCACTATGGGACCACTCCCCAAATGGAACCAAATGAGAGAGAGCAGGGCCCTAAACTCCACAACCAGTTAAGCCTGCATCCCCATCTCCTTCCTCATCCCCGCTGCCCTGAGCTGCCCTGAACGGGAGCCACAAAGAGAACGTCCCTGGGTCTCTCAGCTTCTCTAGGGAAGGAATTGAGGAGACACTCCTCCACCCCCCACCTCCAGAAAACTATTCTCTTAATCAGTCTCCTCGGAGCTTTCATTTTTTCTAGCTAGGTTTTTCCCAGGACTCACAGCATTACAAACTCAGGATAAGACCGAGGAAGAACCGTTGTATGGAAGGGGGAATGCACATTCGGAAGAACAATCTAATATCTCGAGTGAGTCAAACACCTGCATTTTGATCCGTCTCACTTGTAATCGGGCTTCTCCCCCGCCTCCCCCATCATTCACACACACACACACACACACACACACACACTGCCCCCTCCCCCACTTCCCACCAGCCTGCTAAGCGGCTTTAAATACAACCAGGGGGAAATGGGGGTGGGGGAGGGGGTGGGGTGAGGTGAGAACTACCACTACCGGAATATATATAAAGTTATTCGTCTCCGTAGAAAATGACTCTTACCTGTTAGCCAGAAAAAAGCAATCCACGCCAGCACGACCCTGTCCATTTTCCCCAACTTCCCATCCAGATGAAGGAGTGAGCAAAGTGGGGAATGGCAGAAACGGAAGCATCTATGTAACCCAGTGCAGAGGCGGCGGCGCTGCGGCCGCGGGCGTGAACGGACACCCAGCGTCCCCGGGCGCCTTCCCCGCCGCCCCGGCGCCCC